GATGTTACAGAAGTATCATCTCTTACAAGTGCAATAAACAACATTTAACAAAAATATTATTTTCTTGAGCTTGAATAAATTATCAGCTAAAATGGAAGCAGTAAACTGGAATACTGCAGAACATTTCCCCCACTGATTAATACAGTACTGTATTGAGAATACTGAACCCCAAAATTTCACTTGATGAGCTACAATAATTGGAGTACAGTATTTAATTTTACCAACTGATTAATGTTTCTTATATATATATATATATATATATATATATATATATATATATATATATATATATATATATATATATATATATATATATATATATATATATATATATATATATATATATATATATATATATATATATATATATATATATATATATATATATATATATATATATATATATATATATATATATATATATATATTCCAATAACAAGCGGTTCAATTTACAATATTTCAGTTAACGAGTTACCTCCAGTAAGTACTTTCAGTTCTATTAACAAGTACAAATTCTATTAACGACAGCCTTACGAGAAACACATTTTGGTGCACACATCAGTTGATCGACTCATCCGCCAATAATCGGTTCTCTGTTTAGCTTTGTTTCCAGTGGAGTAAACATCAAGAAAGTTGTGCTCTTGAATATTTTTTGCATTTTTAAATTAAAATTATTGGTCATTCTGAAATTTAGTTTATTGATAATATACAGTGCAGTGTTGGTTTAAATAAAAAAAATTGAAATTAGTTAAGTAATTGTTGTGAACTTAAAATTTTATTGGTGAAATTATCAAGCATGGGTCCGAAGAAATCTCAGAAGGTGATTTAAATTCAAGTGAAACAAGAAATCATTAAGAATCTATCACTCCAGAGGTTTCTGACATCATTAAGAAGGTGATTCACCTTCCAAGAAGCATTAAAATGCTTCTCTTCTCCCTTCTCCTCCTCCTCCACCCCCACTTCCCTTCATCTTCCTCCACCTTTCAACTCAACCAGCAACATTTTACATACACACCTCAAAGTGTTAAAATATTTTATTGTTTTTTATTTATTATTGTAGAGTATACTGTACAGTACAGTACTGTATTTTGTTTATATTTAAAGTTTTGTTAATTTTATTACTGGTACAGTACAGGTATACAGTACTTTGTATGTACTTTTTAATTAATTTAAGGGGAATTCTGTGAGTTAGAGCCAATTACCCAATATCCCATTGAAATAATAGATTCAGTTAACGAGATTTTCAGTTAACAAGTGACTCTGTGGAACCAATTGTGCTTGTTAATGGAGGGGCCACTGTATATATATATTCAACAAAACCAGAACAAATGACCATTGCTGTGTGCATTCATCAAGGAGTTGCACGATTCTGTTTTAGCCGGGGGTGATGTGAGTACAGAATAGGAGACATTGATACTGTAGCGTGTGTCTATGAGAACAAATATAAATATTAATATCAGGTCACCTTGGAGGTTCTCAATTAGCATGACATTATGTACTTCACCCGTAAAAGTCCTGTTGCCTCTCCTGAACCACAAACCCCCAAGATTGACTCGTGAATCCGAATAATACATCAATGTTTACTGCCTTGGAATCATGAGTCTGAATCTCAAGGTTTGTGGCTCAGCAGGAGAGGCAACACAGACACACTATGAATGGCTCCTACAGTATGCACACATCATTACTCAAGCAGTATTGTTTCTAGTACTTTGAAAACCAGACACAAACCATGAAGGTGGAACAAATTGGGTTTTGATTGTGTAGTACAGTACTGTACAGTGATCCCTCAGTTAACGAATTACCTTCCATAAGAATCATCAATTCGGTTAACGAAAAAAATTTGGTTAACAAAATTTTTACGAAATCGTGTTAACACGTTTTCGCTTGCTCACCAGCTGGAATATTAGTCCGCCAATACAGTAATCGGTTCTAGGGCTTAAATTCGTTCCCGTTGGAGTAAATATCAAGAAGGTTGTACTATTCAATAATTTTCCAAGTTTTATATTAAATTTTTTAGTAATTTTAACACCTATTTAACATAATTGCAGTACAGGAAACTAGTTTTTGGTGCGCCAATCAGCCACTTGACTCACCCAGCAAGGCGTCAGTTTGTATCTCTGGTCAGTGGAAGTAACATCTTGCCTGTGGCTCTCTTGAACATAAACTATTTTTAAGTTTTTACAGTACAATTATTGGTCATTCTGAAATTTATTTTCCATATTGACAATATATAGTGCAGTGGAGTGTTGATTTAAAGAAAATAATCTTGAATTACACCAAGTGAACTTAAAATTTTATGGGTGAAATGACAGCATGAAGCATGGGGTGATTTCTCTTCCACCCCAACTTCCTTCCCTTCTCCCTTTTCCTCCACCCCCACTTCTAATTCCCATCATCATCATCAACCAGGAGCCTTCTACATACACACCTCAAAGGAAGTGTACTTTACTGCATTTATTTTTACTTTGTATGTAATTTTCGGTGAGCTGGAACCAATTACCCAAAATCCCGTTGAAACAATGGTTTCGGTTTACGAAATTTTCGGTTAACGAACGACCTTCTGGAACGAATTGTGTTCGTTAACCGAGGGACCACTGTATATACTTTTTATAAATATCTGGACCTCTTTATATCACATATATCAATAAAATTTTAAATCTTTATTTAAAAAAAAAATATATATATATATATATACAGTATATATATATATATATATATATATATATATATATATATATATATATATATATATATATATATATATATATATATATATATATATATATATATATATATATATATATATATATATATATATATATATATATATATATATATATATATATATATATATAGTGAATAAACTTCTCAATTTTTTTAAAATACTGTGGTCACCAAAAATAACAGTACATACCGGGTATGGGGTTTATGTAGGAAAGACTGACTTCTCTAATGACTAACAATTCGTCAACATACCTTGTGTGAGTAATCAAGACAGTACTCTACTATTTATAAGTGATATACTGTACATTGGCATTAATCTAATCACCCTCTAAAACTAACAACATAACAATCACAGTTCTAAATTTGTGCATACTGGGCAGCCTAGTAAATTATAACGCTGCATATTACCATTACAATAGGTAGGAGTTAGTACGTGAGCAAAAACTTTCCTGCATTCTAGATGCACGCCTATAAATGATTTATTTTTATCACATTTTTTTCCATTATTGTTCTTTGTATTTTTCTACATTATAAACAAAACTACTTTGTGTTACCTTACAGAGAACCAAAGTATTAATTTATGTTGTTTTAATGATAGGAAGTACTATTTATATAACACAGTATAGACTAAAGGCTATTTCACATTATCACAAGTGGACTCTAGCTGTACAAAAGCTAGTGATATTGACAGTGAAGGACATTAAATTACTGTAAGAGGGGTTCTGGAAATTATTCAACTGTAGTCATTTTTGGGGGGACACAACTTGAGCAGAAGTTGACCATAACACTGGACCACACAACAGCTGAGCAAAGACTGGGAACCCCAGAGGTGGACAGAATTACCAAAGGTTACAAACCCCAGAGATGGCCATGACTATCGAAGGTTACAATCCCAGAGATGGCCAGGACCTTCAAATGTGACAAACCCCAGAGGTGGCCAGGACTATCAAAGGTGAGAAACCCCAGAGATGTCCAGAACTATCAAGTGGTTGGACACCCCAGGAGATACCAAGACACCAATTAAGGTCTGGTGGCAACAGACGTGCCAGAGTTATTACTATGTACCATCATAAACTATAACAGATTGAGTACAATTCTGGCAACTCCAAACCAGATACTGTAGACAAGTTGAGTAAATTTATGGTCCTACACTACTGAGGACTAGTCCTCAGTAAGTGCTCAGCAAACATAATTACCGTACCCTTTTAGCTTTCTAGGAAAGGAGATACAAGAATTGAAAATGCTTATCAATATCAATAGGGATTTTGATCAGTAGACAAGAATGGGCATGGCTTAGGAATTTGAGAGAAAATTATTATAATTTATAGGGAGAACAAAGATTGTTGTCAGGTATCATCATTACAGTACATGTAATGTATAATCTTTTAGCATTCCCAAGAAGCAGATACAAAAATAGAAAATTTTATACAAGCATCTTTAAACTTGAAATTAATCATTGGAGTAAAAAACCAAGATTGGCAGGTTTTGGGTAATACACATTACTTAGAGTCGACAAAATTATGGTACAGTATTAACATATGTTATTACTTATCAAGTCTTTATATTTATCTTTGAACTCAATTTTTCTGTTGGGCAAGTGAAGATTGAATTTCCAACCAAGGATACTCAAACATGTACAGTAGGCTCTACAAGCACACCTATGTTGCCTGACAAAGTTGTATGAACTAGATTTTCATTTCTTTCTGAGCAATCAGAAAAATGTATGTCTAGCCTAACTAAGATATTTTATAAAAATTTTCTTAGGATGAAACTTACTATTAAGTGTTAATGAAAATTTCAAAGCACTGAACTTTAACATATTTATGCTCAACTTATAGTTAAAGTCAGTGACTGAAGGGCTGACAAAAATTATTTGTGCGATGATCGTAAAGATATTGAAGTAGTATACCTGTAGGGAGGTAAGAGGAGTTGCCACAGACCAGAGTACAGTTGACCCTCCATTAACGACCGGTTCAATTTACGATATTTCAGTTAACGAGTTACCTCCCATAAGGACTTTCAGTTCTATTAACAAGTACAAATTCTATTAACGACAGCCTTACGAGAAACACATTTTGGTGCACACATCAGTTGATCGACTCATCCGCCAATAATCGGTTCTCTGTTTAGCTTTGTTTCCAGTGGAGTAAACATCAAGAAAGTTGTACTCTTGAATATTTTTTGCATTTTTTAAATTAAAATTATTGGTCATTCTGAAATTAGTTAACATATTGATAATATACAGTGAAGTGTTGGTTTAAATAAAAAATCTGGAATTAGTTAAGTAAATTGTTGTGAACTTCAAATTTTATTGGTGAAATTATCAAGCATGGGTCCGAAGAAATCTCAGAAGGCGATTTAAATTCAAGTGAAACTAGAAATTATTAAGAAATACGAAGAAGGCATTAGAACCAATGCACTCTGTAAAGAATATAACATATCATTGACTGTGTCTACAATCGGCTGTTTGCGCCGCCGGAAATTCGTCATACACACCTCATATTCTATTGTTTTTTATTTATTATTGTACAGTATACTGTACAGTACAGTACTGTATTTTGTTTATATTTAAAGTTTTGTTAATTCTATTACTGGTATACAGTATTTTGTATGTACTTTTTAATTCATTTTAAGGGAATTCTGTGAGTTGGAACCAATTGCCTAATATATCCCATTGAAATAATAGATTCAGTTAATAAGATTTTCAGTTAACGAGTGACTCTGTGGAGCCAATTGTGCTCATTAATGGAGGGGCCACTGTATTGTACAGTACAGTAGAGGCTACGTGAGGAACACCACCAGTATGCCCATGACGGTACTGAGAAAGAACACCAGCACGACGGAGGTCACGATCCAACACAGACAACGCCGCCGCTGCACTGTGTTGATGCTCTCTTCCCCCTGCAACAGCGCCAAGGATTAGTTTATAATTTAGTTAGCACCAAAAGTCACTGTAAATTCTCTGACTGTAACTAAACAATAATGTACAGTCACTCAAAAAATTTTCTTTACAAAAATTATGTTTGACAATATGACACAACGGACAAAGGATTTTGACAACCTTACCAAGACAACAGGAGTCGCAGTGTTCATTCTGAAATTCATCGACTGCCCCCCCCCTCCCCCTTCCCACCCACTCAGCAGACAACATGACCACACACCACCCACTCAGCAGACTCAGTAAACAACAGAACTCACCACAGATTCAGCTTCAGAACAGACAGACTCGGTATTCTCTTGGCAGGAGTTGGAGTCTTCGTTGATGGCAGCAAGTAACTGTTTCTCGGTCAGCTCGTCCAAGATCCACGTCTTCATATCCAAACTGCTTTCCATCACGTTGATTAGATTCCTCAGGTCTATTAGTTCTCTGTCAATTTATGAACGACTGTTAAAACAGTGAGTGGACATTTGGGCCACTGTTAAAACTCCATCTCATGTTTATCTATTACAAGCATCTTCATCTCCAATCCAAGGGACACAATTTTAACCTCATGAGGGCGGGGATCTCTCTGTGCTCAATAAAATCGTCTGGTGTTAGCCAAATAAAATAATAAAAGTAGCATCCTTGTATTGAAGAGGTCACAAGGGATGTGTTTGCGGTACAGTAGTAAAAATTAAAGAGAGTGCTTTTGTGAAAATTCCAAGATATAACAAAATGTTAGATCTTGGAATAATTGTTTTCTTAAAACTGATTGACTTACTTGTTAAGATAAAGTCAGACACTGAACTAGGTTTCCTTATATCATTTAACTGACTTACTTATGGAGTTGATTGACCTCTGCCCTCTCTAGTGCCAGTCTGTCAGTGAGGGAGAGGTCGAGGCAGTCACCGGGTGGCCCTGACCGGTGACTGCTGCCATACTCGTGGACGCCTGTGTTGATGAGGCCAATGGGTCCCAGGTGTAAGCCGAAGGTGTGCTGCAGGGTCAGTGTGCGCAACATCTCCTGCTCTGAAGTGTGGTGTCTTAGTTGCTGATATAGTCATAGTGATCAAGTAGTTACAATAGCTAAAGTAAGGTACAGTTAAAATTAGTAAATGCAGAAGAGTAGTTACAATCAAAAACTGTAGTTATAACCAGTAAATTCAGTAGCTTTAATTACTGTATTATTAAACAGTATGAGTATAAGCAAAACACATATAGTTGATGCAAGTAAGTCCCTCATTTATAATACTGTAACCATTTCCACACACACACACACACACAGTGACCACCACAACAACTCACCTAGTACCCGTATGCAACAGAAGAGTATACGCCATAGTCTGGCTACCTCTGGCCGCACTGTATCTGCTCTGGAGAAAAAAAGAATCAAATATTGCTAGTTAATAATTAATTCAGATTACAGCAACAAAATTACTTAATAATTGATAATGAATTTGAAACATCTTTTTGTCTGGTTGTGTCTAACAAATTGTGTAGACATCTGGACTTTGATTGTTGAGTGAGAGAAGCTGGTTAGTTATTAAGGTCATTCTGGTAAAGTGAAGTTGTCTCAGTGTAGCACTTACTACTAAATAATAAATTCGGGATACTATGATAAGTTCAATAAAAAAATCAGTTATGTCATTTTGCAGCAATTAAATGGATGCTGAGAGATGGGATGTGAAGTGATGAGTTGTCAGGGTGAAGGTTTTATTGTGCAGGAGGTTTAAAATAAGGTTATGATATGTGTAAAGACTGTAACACGAGAACTAACTCTAGGAGGTGTGGGCTCAGTTTATTTTTGGCCTCCCTGGCGAGGTCCTGAGCCCGGCGCCTGGACCTCTTGAGTTCCTCCCGCAGCTGGTCACAGTCACCACTGCCTCCAAGACCCACGGCCAGGTGACGGTAGCTCGATGTCTCACGATTCAATTCCCGGATGAACTATGGGGGAGATATTATTGACTACAGGGAGTCTGTACAGAATGAAAAAAAATGTGTATATTGTATGTATATAAATGTAGCAGCTTTATAATAATGGGCTTCAGTTGTCTGGTGCATACAGCTGTAGCATGTTTATCTCTTACTACTGCCTCATGTCCTGGGTGCGATATGGGTGTTAACCAGTGTGACACTACATAACAAAACAAGTTTTCTCCAGGCACTACGGTTTCCTCCAGTACAAACATTAGACAATAAAGGTCATAACAAAATCACAAAGAACATGACCAACTGCGCAAACAGCTAGTAAGCTGATACATGGTGAAATGATAAACAAAGATGGGAAGGATGACTTGAAGATTAACTACCTCCAGCTTATTTCATCTTCAGATGGAAACCACCCAACCTAACCTAACCTAACCCAACCACCCTCAGGTAACATTAGGGTATTAAATCGCCTTTTGTCTTAGGGTGAGAAACACTCACACTCCTGCAAGCCCCACTAGAGGGCACCCATCAGTGAGCTCTGTCAACAATCTCTTTCTTTCTCTGGGCTTGTACACTGCTTAGCATTTAGTGACTGTGTGAACATCATGAAATAAACTATTAGCCCACAAAAGAACAGTCATCTGATTTACTCGCTCTCTCTCTCTCTCTCTCTTTCTATTACTACTAATATTAATAATAATAAAATAATTAAAAAACTTAATTAATTAATGTTTAACAGTTGCTGTATAGCATAAGGACCTATACTTAGAATAAGTGTTTATCAAGACCAGAGTTACTGAAGGACAAACATACACATAAAACAAGTACTGTACAAGGAAACAAATAAGAGACTTTCTCGGAAGCAGCCAAGGCAGGCTAGATTATAAACAGTTCACAAGTAAACACCAAGGAACTGGGTCAAGTATAGATTCCTGAAGGTGCATAGGGTGAGTATTCCTTGAGGGTGACTATGTATAAATGTGCCTTAAGAGTGGTTGACGTAAAGTGGCGAGTGTGAGGGCGGGTGGTGAGTGTAAGGGTGGGTGGAGATGGGTGTGAGGGTGAGTGGTGAGTGTGTGGGTGGGTGGTGAGTGTAAGGATGGGTGGTGAGTGTAAGGGTGGGTGGTGATGGGTGTGAGGGCGGGTGGTGATGGGTGTGTCGGTGGGTGGTGAGTGTAAGGGTGGGTGGGAGATGGTGGTGAGTGTGGGGTGGGTGGAGATGGTGGTGAGTGTGGGGTGGGTGGAGATGGGTGTGGGGTGGGTGGTGATGGGTGGTGGTGAGTGTGAGGGCGGGTGGTGATGGGTGTGGGTGTGGGTGGTGAGGTGGGGGTGGATGGAGATGGGTGTGTAAGGGTGGGTGGTGAGTGTGGGGTGGGTGGCAGGTGTGTGGGGTGTGTGGTGTGGTGGGCAGGTGGTGATGGGTGTGGGTGGGTGGTGTATGGGTGGGTGGATGGTGAGTGTAAGGGGTGGTAAGTGGTTATGAGGGTGATTGGTGGTGGTTGTGAGAGTCGGTGGTAATGGGTGTGAGGGCAGGTGGGTGGTGATGGATGTGGTGGGTGGGAGGTGATGGATGTGAGGGGTGGGTGGGTGATGATGGTGTGAGAGTGGGTGGGTGTGAGGGCAGGTGGGTGATGGATGTGGGCAGGTGGGTGGTGATGGGTGTGAGGGTGGGTGGTGGTGGGTGTGAGGGCAGGTGGGTGGTGGAGAGTCAGGTTCGCTGTCTTGGGTCCTTGGCACCCCGATGTATACAAAGTGTTGGCTTGCTCCTCCTACACCACACATTCACTAAACACCCACCTGGCCCTCACACACTCACCCCAACACCTACATGCTCCTTACACTCACCCAACACCCACATGCTCCTCACATACTCACCCAACACCTACATGCTCCTGCACACTCCCCAACACCCACATGCTCCTCACACACACTCCTTGCCCACATGCCTCACACACTCACCCATACCCAGCACACACTCACCCCACCCCACATGCTCCTCACACACTCACCCAACACCCACACACACTCACCCACCTACATGCTCATACACACTCACCCATGCTCCTCACACACTCTGCAACACCTACATGCTCCTCACACACTCACCCAACACCTACCTGCTCCTTACACACTCACCTTGCCACATGCTCCTCACACACTCACCCAACACCTACATGCTCCCACACACCACCCACATGCTCACCTCACCAACACCTACATGCTCATAACACTACCCATGCTCCCTCACACACTCACCCCAACACCTACCTGCTCCTCACAACTACCTACATGCTCCTTGCCTCACCCAACACCACATGCTCACTCACACCTACACACACACATACACCTACATGCTCCTCACACACTCACCCCACATACCTACATGCTCATGCCCTTACACACTCACCCAACACCCACATGCTCCTCACACACTCACCCAACACCCACATGCTCCTCACACACTCACCCAACACCTACATGCTCCTCACACACTCACCCAACACCCACATGCTCCTCACACACTCACCCAACACCTACATGCTCCTCACACACTCACCCAACACCTACATGCTCCTCACACACTCACCCAACACCTACATGCTCCTCACACACTCACCCAACACCTACCTGCTCCTTACACACTCACCCAACACTCACATGCTCCTCACACAATCACCCAAATATATCCATACATATCGTTTAATAATATATACAGTAGTTTAGACAAGTGTTAGGTTAGATTACTGTGAGATTAGGTTATGATAGTGTTAGGTTAGGTTAGGTTAGAGGGATTAAGTTGCATTACGTTAGGTTAAGCCAGGAATGGACAACATTTTTAGGGTGTTTAATGATCAGGTGAAATAAGTTGGAGTGCTTATTCTTCAGGTGAGCTGGTTGGTGTCACCTTAAGACAGTCAGCCTTGCCAGCAAACTCGAGGGCGGCCGCTGCGTTGCGTTGGTCGGTGTTAGTGCAGTAAGGGATCCACAAAGGCCGCCCACCGCCACTCACACCACCGCCGCCCAGCACTGCCGTCCCCCCAGACACACCTCCCCCCAGGCTGCCCCCACGCACCCACATCACACACAACCTGCAACACAACAACATAATTTATAACTTTGAAGACAATTGTTAAGAATCACTGTGCTTGACCAGAAAGATAACACAGTACTAGGCATTTCTTGTTCTACGTTAGCAAACTATCTCCACGAATTATATTTTCGACAAACATTACATACCATAACCTAATCTAAATGTAGTGTAACCTAACCTAACCTAGCCCAAACTCAACCTAATCTAGATGTAACGTAACATAACCCAAACCTAATCTAACTTAACTTAATCTAAACATAAAATAACGTACCCTAACCTAAGAATCATACTCAAGGGGTTGTCATAGTCAAAGGGTAAAGTCAATGTGCCCAAGGGGTTAAGTCATCATACTCAAAGGGTTAACTCATCATATTCAAGGGGTTAAGTCATTGTGACCAAGGGGTTGTCATCATACTCAAAGGGTTAAGTCATCATATTCAAGGGGTTAAGTCATTGTGACCAAGGGGTTAAGGCATCATACTCAAAGGGTTAAGTCATCATACTCAAGGAGTTAAACATTGTGCCCAAGGGGTTAAGTCATCATACTCAAAGGGTTAAGTCGTCATACTCAAAGGGTTAAGTCATCATACTCAAAAGGTTAAGTCGTCATACTCAAGGGGCTAATTCATTGTATCCAAACGGTTAAATCATTGTACTCAAAGGGCTGTCATTGTATTCGAGGGTTAAATCATCATGCTCAAGGGGTAAAGTCATCGTACTCAAAGAATTAAGTCATCGTACTCAAGTGGTTAAGAGTAATTAACAAAAATAATTAATAATCGACCCAAGTAAATATTGAAAATGAACCAAAATATTACCATACGTTTCCGTCACTAGGGCAAGGTCATATAAGGTCACACGGGGTCATAAAAACTCACTGAAATTAATTAACAAAGTGTAAATGTGTGCGGAGTATATTTCTCAACCTTCCCATTTCCCTGTGTCTTTCCACAATTGTTTTTCATTCTTATTTCCTCCTTTCCTTTGAGGGTCCTTAAGTTCTTATCCCATTCACACACAAGTTAGATAGATAATAATAATAATACTGAACACTGTTACTTCAAATCGTCTCCAACTCTAAGGTAATGACGCACCGTATTTCTGTGTGAGGAACAGTCTGGTGTTTACAAAGTTCCGTGATGTATTGTTTACAAAATTCCCAGGGAAAATGGATCAACCGAAGATCAACACCCAAAGCTAAACATAATATAACCTAACCTACGCTAGACATACAGTAATCTAATCTAACATAACCTAATCTAACCACGTAATTTAACCTTTTTTTTTACTTCTATCCTCTTCGCTACTGATCGGCTCGTTAGCCGCTTGGGCGGTTGATCACGTCTCACGCACTGTTGGCAAGTACTAGGCATGCACTAGCGTCTGAATGTATCTGAACCTGTTCCAGTGCTTGTCAAGTCTGGTCTTGAAAGAGCTCACACTCGGTGCCGCCACAACACTCTCGGGCAAGTTTTTCCAAGAGTTCACAATTCTCACTCCGAAAAAGTTTGCCCTCACAGTTTTCTGGACTTGAGGCCTCTTCAACCTTGAGCTGTGTCCCCTTGTGGGGCGGGAGTCCGCCAGCTCCAGGTATGGACACTCGACTGAGTAGTGCCCTTTGAGATGTTTATACACCTCAAGTAGGTTCCCCCTTGCCCGTCTGTAGTATAAGCTAGGTAGTGCAAGAGCTCTAAATCCTCTGGGTAGCCGAGATGCCGGCACCAGTCTGGTGACCCGCCTTTGGACATTTTTAATCAACGACGTGATAATATTTTCCTATTATATGGAGTAAGTTATGGTAATTTTGTGCATCATAGCCATTTTTTTTTATAACCTGGCATTGGTACAGATTATCAAAATGCATTGTGTACTGGTTCTACCAAATGTATCAAACTAAAACACGAGAAAAGATTGGACCAATACAGACAGATACCGGCGAGCTAACTGATAACGACGGAAAAATGAGCAATGATCTGAACAAATATTTTTCAACAGTTTTCACCACAGAAAATTTAAACATGATACCCGAGGCACCGACTCTATTCAGAGATAGTGAAGAAAACAAATTAAGCGAGATAGTAGTGACTAGTAACGATGTTAGTAAGCAAATAGACGAACTAAAGCCTAATAAGTCACCTGGTCGCGATGAGATATTTGCCAGAGTATTAAAGGAATGTAAGGAAGAGCTTAGTATGCCCTTAGCAAAGTTGTTTAACATGTCCTTAAAACAGGTGTAGCACCAGAATCCTGGAGGATAGCGAATGTAATACAGATTTTCAAGAAGGGGGATAGATCACTATCCTCTAACTACCGCCCAATCAGTCTAACATCAATAGTAGGCAAATTACTGGAGGCAATCATTTCAAACTCTATTCGAAATCACCTGGAGAAGCACCGATTGATCAATGATTCCCAGCATGGCTTCACAAGCGGGCGTTCTTGTCTAACTAATATATATATATGTATGTATGTTTATATGCTGCCTTTATTGAATATATATATTATATATTATGTTACTTCTTACCAAAGTCAGAAAGTGTTTAGGCTTGTGTAAACACGAAATGTGTTAGGCACGTTGTAACCAAGAACAGAGAATAAACGACCAGCCAGACAGACCATGTGACTCGTCATTCTCCCATTAAATAACGCAAGATACTACAACATTCTTTTTATCAGTTTTCGAATCGGTGGACGAGGGGCACAATTATGATGTAGTATATCTCGACTTTAGCAAAGCCTTCGACAGAGTCCCCCACGAAAGACTAATTAGAAAAGTAGAATCCCATGGATTAGGGCGTGGTTACAGGACAGGAAACAGCGAGTGAGCAATAACATTAACGGCACTAAATCCCATTGGAGCAACGTCTCTAGTGGAGTTCCCCAAGGCTCGGTACTTAGACCATTATTATTTATTATATACATAAACGACATAGACAGCAACATAAGTAAATTTGCTGATGACACTAAAATAGGACGTGTTATTAAATCTGACGAGGACTCCGCAAAACTACAGGAAGATCTAAACAAATTTTTCGAATGGTCTGAAAAATGGCAGATGAAATTCAACGTGGACAAATGTAAAGTACTCAGTATAGAAGATGTAAACAGGGAAACCAGTTACCAGATGAACAACGATGCCATTGAGAAATTTGACTGCGAGAGAGATTTTGGAGTAATGATAAGTAGAAACCTTAAGCCAAGTAAACAATGTGTTTTTGCTTGTAACAAGGCTAATAAAGTACTTGGGCTCATACAAAGGAGTGTTAGTTACAAGACTAGCAAGGTCATCTTGCGATTATATCTTGCGCTTGTGAGACCTCACCTGGATTACGCAGTTCAGTTCTGGTCACCGTATTACAGAATGGATATAGAATCCTTGGAAAGAATTCAGAGGAGAATGACAAGACTAATCCCGGCCATTAGGAACCTTGAGTACAGTGACAGGTTAAAGCATCTTAATCTGCACTCCCTCGAGAGACGTAGAGTGAGGGGCGACCTGATAGAGGTGTATAAGTGGAAGGCAGGGCTAAACAAAGGGGACATTACAAAGGTACTCAAACTATCCAACCAGGAGCGAACTCGTAACAATGGTTTTAAATTAGACAAATTTAGATTTAGGCGCGAAATAGGTAAACACTGGTTTGGAAACAGAGTAGCGGATGAATGGAACAAGTTACCAAATATCATCATTAACTCAAATACGCTGGATAGCTTCAAACATAGGTTGGATGCTTATATGAGCAATAGGGGTTGGGTGTGAACGGGACTGCCCACTTATGGGCCAATAGGCCTGCTGCAGTTTCCTCCATTCTTATGTTCTTATATTCCCATCTACAAGAATCATTGACAGGGAAGGTGAGTGAGAGCACTGTTAGTGAGAGGACAGACGTGCTAGGTAATACTTGGACAGTCTACATCATAAACACTTGAAGACAACCTACAGCACTAACACTTGAAGACAGACTACAGAACTAACACTTGAAGACAGCCTACAGCACTAACACTTGAAGACAGCCTACAGAACTAACACTTGAAGACAGCCTACAGAACTAACACTTGAAGACAGCCTACAGAACTAACACTTGAAGACAACCTACGGCACTAACACTTGAAGACAGCCTACAGAACTAACACTTGAAGACAGCCTACAGAACTAACACTTATCTTCACAGGTAGAGTTAACGTAGAACCAAGTTGACAGGTGAAGGGGGGAGGGGGGGGGATCTGTCAGTCCTGTGGAAAGTTATGAGAAGATGAAGATGCGAGTGTTGTTGTAGGGTGAGGGAGAAAGGCGAGGGAAGACATACATAGACATAGCCACAGCGCTGCCAAATCAAACAAAGGTTACCTTGAGGAGGAAACATGGAGGCCACTACCCAACACGCTCTCTTCTACTAATTTTCCAGAACTAATAACACTATGGGTTGGGGTTCACTTGGGTCTAGAAGGCGGGAGTCACACTACCAAGTTAAGGGTCTTGGAGGGCTAGTAAAGAAATGCACAGGCCAGAAATTGCCTACGGTGTGGAGGACGCCGCCGCATGCAGAGATGTTGTCCTCCATCACCATCACAACCACAACCTCAAGCTCAACAAGTGCGTGTCTCCGCCTCTCTGCCGGACGTAAGATAAAACTTCATTCATGTTACTCACTGCCTTTTCTCCCTCTCACTGCTAATATTTACTATCACAATGTGCAGATTATTACATTATCTTGTTAACACGTGACCTACATAATGAGATAGATGTTCCTGAGATGAGGACAGTGAAACTAGATATATCTAAGATAATACCATGACGACACCGCTCGTGTCCTCACATTGGTATCACGGTAACAAATTTTGGTTTTCTCTCAATCCTGTGTTCTTGTACTGGGGAATCACTCTCACACCGAGTTATTTCTGAAAATCTTCAACTATTTCTTGATTATTGATATTTCAAGTGACAAAAATAAACACTGCATAATGATATGAAACGAATACTATGCAGAATCTTTGAGACCCTGGCAACACTGCTGTTGTCTGATCAATAACAATCAGGGGTTCTGGTGGCGTGTTTTCTCATTGGTCCGTTTATGCCATGTTCGTCGGGGGTATTGGTTAACATAGTGTCTCGGGGAGGTGAATGGATCAATATGTGCCGCTGGGAATGCAGTTATCAGACTGGAAACTTATCTCTTATTGACAAAAGATGAAAATAAGTCTTTTCTTACTTCCCGAGCACATGATACTGGGACCCAATACAGTACAGTGTTTGTGTGTTGATGTTATGATTTGTTACAACGCTTCAGCAACTCGGGTCATTAAGTTCGCCCCTACCCGAAGGACTGTCTCTAATCCCTGCCCTACCCTTTCGCCCTCTACCAAGTGTTAATTGATTTTTCACAGCTTTACCTCACCTAACGCTGCCATGTACTACATTAAATAAATGCAAAATATATCACAAGACGCGGTTGCCTAATAAAATAATTCAATACCAACTTTGTCTTACTTTTGTATTGTAATTAAACATGGTAAGATGGGTTGGTGGCTCCCCTTTGGTAGCTTTCAATCAGCTGGCAGTCGATGAGAGTATTTTGAAGACGAAACAGAATTACAATAATTCAAGTGAGGAAGAACTACACCTTTGAGAAGCCTTATGGGAGATGGACCATATAAGATTAAACTCTCCGAATAAGATCCACAAGTTTATTAACAAGATTTAATTTCTTCTCACAACGATCCGAGAATTTTACTTCGTTGTCATCAGAAACACCAATATTTTTCTCAATTAGCTTTAGCTAATGAAGTATTTATTGCGATGTATGATACATTTCCTTACTCTTGCGTTTTACAAGGTATTATATAATTATATCCAACTTTTAGACAGGTAATTACCCCTTCATCGTTGAAGGTAAAATAGATACGTTCTTCAGTAAGGAAAATATAGCAGTCACAGTGACAATTTAATGTTATCTATAAATCAGTGAATATGAATAAATAATGAGAAAAATTAATGATTACATTTTGAATAACCCGCTTCTTAATGTTTAATCTTAAAAACTATTATCATTCTTTAAAAATGTATTGTAATGAGAAAATTAATCATTAAGAAGACTTGATACAAGTATTTAATCTTCCCATAAACCAAAAATATCTAAATTTTAGATTATGAAACATTTATTTTAATTATTTAAGTGATATCTAAGAACTGGAAGAAGATAAACATTACAAGTTAAGTAAATTATTGGAACGCCATATTGACTGTCTGGGGAGGGACGGAGGGTCGATGAGTCATCGTATCGCCCAGCACAAGTATTTGACCGATATTCTGACTACTAAGACATTAACTTGAGTTGTTGTTGAGGATTGTGGTGTATGAGAAGTCATCATGGCGGACAGGAAAGCTGAGTTAGAGAGGAAGAAAGCCAAGTTAATGGCCTTAAGGGAGGAGAAAGAAAGGAGAAAACGAGAGAAAGAGCAAAAAGACGTAAGTAGAGGCACTTTTCTATGACTTACACTTGTGTTATAGATGTCAAAATAACCATGACAGGTGTGTAACTATTAGCTAACTCATACATTAATAAAATCACGAAAATGGCGAATAATTTTATAATCTTTTGGTTGAATTAAAATATAGAGTTGCCGGTGTGAGGAAACTTAGTGAGGTAGTGAGAGAGAGAATGAGAGAACCTGTAATTTGTTCCTCTATCCTGGTAACAAAAGCAAGATATTAACCATTAACTAACGTAGTGGTGATGCTGATACGTCATGAGGTTAGTGTCATAAATCACCATTTAGTTTAGTAAAAGAGATTTATCGAAATTTTGTGATTTGTTATTTTTTTCAACTGACTGACAGGAGGAAGTGGGTGTGACTACCATTTTGCTCATAACTTGTGTATATTTTTCTGGTTCTTTAGAATATTTTAAGAACTGTGAGTCAGTCTAATGGTTAATACTGTACTGGTGTGGCTGTTACCTGAAGAATTTTTAGTAACAGAGAACAGTAATGTACGTTTAAATGATCTTTAATTAATCCTTAAATGTGAAAATGAAATAAGCCAATGGAAGAAGATTCTATTAAATTCAATAGTCATCATTTAAGGAAACATTTTAGTTGAGGTTTATATAGTGTTCTGGTATTTACTTTATCTATATGTGTTTTCTTCAGTATTTTCTTTAGAAAATTGAATTTTTTGACTTATGGAATACAAGTCCAGTGACCGAACAGAAGTAATTTTGAGTTAACTTGTGGGTATTATTGCATTTTCGCACACAACATTCATACCCCTAATCTATTATCATATTCGAATAAGAAGTCTAATTATAAGATAATTTGCCGTCGCAAATGTATAATAACGGAGATAGCGTATCCAAAATTTTCTCTATTTTCTTCCATTAATCTTCCGCCATTATCGTCTGCCTCACCTCCCACACTGCGTGTCTCCTCCTAGTCCGAGAATTGCTGTTCGACACCACAACCGCATCCAGCCCATACGTGCACGAACTGATCGCTATAAGAACAGCCCAGTCCCAACCATTGTAAAAATTATCAATAACTTGTAATAAATCAGTGTACACACTCCCAGTAAACAGTACTCCTTGCACTGTCACTATGTTGAAATGAACTGTAGTTTGAGCTTTTCCCCATCTAGTTATTATATGTCTTATTTGTGTCACTTATGTTACTTGTATATTATTTGTAATTCGTAACCCATTCCCCAAATATGTAACTGTATATTTTCAGCCTTCTGGCTGCCCAGCTCTTTCAATAAACCGTTAATTATTATTATTATTATTATTATAAATCATCACGCCCATGCGTTCCCGTACAAGTCACGCGGCCAATCAAAAGCATTTTTTGGGGGGCAACCAATTAAAATGATTTGTGGTTTAATTCGAGGTATTTTTGGCCCAATCAAATTCGATTTTTATTTTGGGTCTCATATCTCGATATTCAAATTCATTTCCAACCTTGGAAGTCTGCGATGGGTGTCACTTCAATTATATGGAGTTGATTGTGAGTTTTGGGGGAAAAAATGAAGAAACTATTGCATTTTTTCGATCTCATGGTTTTCACCCGACTTCAGTAGTGTCCTAAGTGCAAGAACGAATGTAAATATCGTCAAGACCAACATATGTGGCATTGTGGTAACTCCAACAACGAACGAGAACCAGGCCAATAAGGTAAGACACAAGTGATTCCATCATATGGTGAGAGTCAGTTAGGTTAGGTCAGGTCTATGGTTTTCTAGTTTTTTTGTTGTGTATTTTGTATTCACCTAGCCATAATTTTTGTCAGAAAACGCCCCACCAAAAAACCCCCCAGCTAATTCCCGACGGAAATGAAGGTCATAACCGATCTAAACACACATAAATACAGTATAGTCTACATTTACGCGGTCAATTGTACCCGTGGAGGTCCGCGTAAAACGAGAAACGCTTAAACGAAATAACAGAACATATGGGATTAATTGAAATAGAGACTGGGCCGACCCCCAAACTCCACTTTTTCCGACACAATACATACGTTGTAGTAAAAATCGTATCTTAATTTGATGATGGTATGCACACTAGGGGGCAGGGATAAAACACTTTTATTTGAGTTGCAGGCTGCACTTTTCAGGCATCGTTTGTATGGCTGTAACAAACACCTGTGCAAAATTTCATGCCATTTCATGCATACTTACCCTGCCGCATCGCGAACGACTTTTTGTCAACTTCTAGTGTATACCAAAAATTAGGTGTCATTTAATGTTTTCCAGGATAATGATAAATTTTACATGGGTGACATCGATTTAATTCACATGTTATTTTACAGGTACACCGTATAGAAAATCATTACAAGTTCATATTGAAATTCTTTTTTGTGCGGAACCTTGGCATCATTTTCCTAGACAATAATCTTTGCCTAATATATCCATCTCTCGATTCGTATCCCGTCACTTCAGTGCAAGCTTCAGTCATCACTTTTATGCCTCTCTCGACCGCCTGAGTGCTGTTTGGCCACTTGGGCACCACTAATGGTGTCTCAAGAATGTCATTAACCTGTAGATTTGACAGAGAAGCAATGTAAGGAGGCTCAGTCTTGAGTTCATTCCTCCAGTTAATCATGGAATGATAGTTTTTTGCTTGCCACTTTAGTTTCGGAGTCACCACCTTTCTCATGTTGACTACAGGAGGCACATCCTCATTCCCATCTCCATCTTTACCCTCCTCATCAGTATAGTTTAACAAATTCTCGTCAACAGCAGCATCAGAATCTTCCTCCTCCTCTTCAGATCTGCCAGTGCATTCTTCCTTTTGCTGATTCTCTTCTCTAATTTTTCTTATCATTGAGACAGCCTTTTCTCTAACAGTCATGTCCTCATCTGCACACATACCAAGAAGAAGTTGATCTGTGTGGGCGAAGTATGCATTTCTCTGGACAGCCTTCTTCACTATCGTCTCCTCCTCACTATTCAGGTGTTTCATATATAGCAGGGACTGGAATACGTTCCTTGAGCCGTGTGTTACGTAAGGGTGTATCTTGATGTAAAACCACATTGGAGCACTGAACTTTATTATTGTAGTGACAATTCTTTTCAACTCATGGCTGGGTCTTGATGTTGCTACATACAG